GTTCACAATAATCAGACGATGTGTCATGCGCAAAAACCGGTCACCTACCTCCAAAGTCAAGGTCACACTTGGAGGTCAAATACTTACATAGTCTGTTACAGGGTATATTTTGTGTCAGGTCTATAACTTTTTCATAGATCAAAGGATTTTGAAAATACTTCGCACAAATAGTCACTATAATAAGAGGATGTGTCATGCGCAACACCTGCATCCCTACCTCCAAGGTCAAGGTCACACTTAGAGGTTAAAAATTAACATAGTCTGTTATAGGGTATATTTTTTGTCGAATCTAGAACTTCTTCATAGTTCAAGGGATTTTGGAATAACTTGGCACAAATAGTAACAATAATAAGCCGATATGTCAGGTACAACACCTGCACCCCTACCTGTTAAGGTCAAGGTCACACTTAGAGGTCAAAGGTGAAAAGAGTCTGTTATTTGGTATATTTTTTGTCCCGTCCATTACTTCTTCATAGATTAAGGGATTTTGAAAGTACTTGGCACAAATAGTCACAATGATTAGATGATATGTCATGCGTAACATCTGTGTCCCTACCTCCAAGGTCAAGGTCACACCTAGAGTTCAAATATTTACGTAGTCTGTTATAGGGTATATTTTGTGTCCAATCTATAACTTCTTCATAGTTCAAGGGATTTTGAAAATACTTGGCACAAATAGTCTCAATAATAAGACGTTATGTCATGCACAACACCTGCTCCCCTACCTCCAAGGTCAAGGTCACACTTAGAGGTCAAAGCTTAACATGATAGATTTTTAAATTCCGTGTTTCATTTTATTTTTTTAACAAATTTATTGTTACATTTGCAGATCTAGCATTGATCATAATTTTGGACTGAATGTCCTGAGATCCATACCTCAATTTTTTGAAATAGCACAATTTTATGCTTCATATAAAACTCCCGGGGCGGGGGACGTTGGTAACTCTGTTACAAATTCTTGTTTCTTAAGGGATCAACTTCATACTTCAAAACCAAATATATAGTTTCCTTATCATCAACCACATCTTGACAAGGTTCATAACTGAAGTACCAATATTGCAAGAATTACCTCCCCGTTAACTGATATTTTTTTAATTGAAAAATGTTATTTTTTTACTATAACTTCTTTAGTTTTAAAGGTATCTACCTGAAACTTCAAATACATTATAACATATTCCTTATCATCAACCAGATTTTATGTGACAAGGTTCATAACTCTTGAAGCAATATTTTCAGATTTATCTTCCTTTGAACTTAGAAATTTCTTTAAGAAATATAACTTCTTTACTTCTTTACTTTTTAAGGTATCTACTTTAAACTTCAAATATATATTTCTTATCATTACACACATGTTGTGTGACAAAGTCCATAAGTCTAGTGTGACTATTTCCAGAATTTTTCCCCCTTGAACTTGGAATTTATGTTTACAACAATAATTTCTTTTCATAAGAAGAAATATATTTATATCGTAATTGATTTTTCTGTCATAGTTTTGTCTTCTTCAATACTGCGTCCAGTATTTAATTAGTCGAGCTTTGCTGTCTCCTGTGACAGCTCTTGTTTGAGTTATTGCCCTTTGTTAATTTTCTTATTGGCCGGGTTGCACAGGTGCTAACCTGGGTTATAGTATCCTGTATGGTGCGGGCGGGGAAAAAACCTTCTTAACAGTTTTCTCAGCAGCTACTTATCAAAACCTCTTGATATTTGGCATACAGCATTAACATGTGGTCCCATAACGTGGGATTCGATTTTAGGTCTGTCGCTCATCTACTTGCTGTTTGCCGACTTAGTTAAATTTTCAACATTAATGGTCAATAGCAGGAAATTTTTGTAACAGTTTTTTCAGCTACTACTTATCACAGCCTCTTGATATTTGGCATACAGCATTAACATGTAGTCCCATAACATGGGATTTGATTTCAGGTCTGTCGCTCATCTACTTCCTGTTTGCCGACTTAATTAAATTTTCAACATTAATGGTCAAATTAGTAGGAAATTTTCATAACAGTTTTCTCAGCAACTACTTACCACAGCCTCTTGATATGTGGTTTACAGCATTGACATGTGGTCCCATATTGTGGGATTCCATTTCAGGTCTGTTGGTCATCCACTTCCGGTGTAACAACTTAGTTAAATTTTCAAAATCATTGGTCAGTGGTCCAAAATTTAAGTAACATCACAGCCTCATGATATTTTGTATACATATGCAACCCGGCCTTTTCTGTCTTTGACCCATTTTTTTTATTTTTGTCCAGGCTATTTCTCATTAATTATAAAAGCTATGGACTTGAAACTTCATGGGATAATAGATCTTATTGAGATAAAGTATAGTGTTCAAAAACCGTTACTCTGTACTTGATGATTTTCAAGTTATTGCCCTTTGTTAATTTTCTTATTTTATTTTTGTCCGGGCTATTTTTCATTAATTATTAAATTAAGCTATGGACTTGAAACTTCATGGGATAATAGATCTCATTGAGATAAAGTGTAGTGTTCAAAAACTGGTACTCTATACTTGATGTTTTTTAAGTTATTGCCCTTTGTTAATTTTCTTACTTTATTTTGTCTGGGTCATTTCTCCTAAACTGTAAAAGCTATGGACTTGAAACTTCATAGGATGATAGATCTTATTGTAAAGAAGTGCAGTGCACTATAACTGTTACTCAGCACTTCTTATTTATTGAGTTATTGCCCTTTGTTAATTTTCATATTTCATTTTTGTGCGGGCCATTTCTCATAAAACTTCATAGGATGATAGATCTCATTTAGATGAAGTGCAGTGCACAAAAACTGATACTCCATGATTTTTGTATTTTCCGACGCAGTCAGGAAATACAATGCTGACATTCAATCTCTGGCACAGAATTTCTCGACAAACCTAACAACAAGTAGTTCTCAAAACAGTTTAAAACTAGGGATGTAAAAGAAAGAAATATTTTTATTTTATTACAAGTATTCAACAAATTACAGCGCATTCAAAGTTTAAAAGTAGCCTTGGCTTATAGAATTGACAATAAATGCACAATCACAAATTACACAGAAGAATATCATTTTGATCAATGAAAATGCTATTTTTAGCAATGTCAATTACTGAATACTTCATAGAGTAGTACACAAATAAACAAGTTATATAACTGTGTCATCCATATTTCCCAGTTATTTCCCTTTTTTCACTTTGAAAATAGGGCCTTGTATGGTTAACCTATTTCGGCAAGTTGGATTTATCTTAAATTTCTCCTAATTGCTTAATTTCTTTAATGATATCTTTCATATTTAGTAGGTGGATACCTTTGATGGTCCTCTAAATTTTTGTGGAGGTCTCTAGGGTCAAAGTCAAGGTCACTGGTTTAAAAAATAAATATAAACATTTTTGCTCATACAGCCTTTATTTTTAGTTCACCTGTCACAAAGTGACAGGGTGAGCTTTTGTGATCGCTTTTCGTCCGGCGTCCGTCCGGCGCCCGGCGTCCGTAAACTTTTACTTTAAATGACATCTCCTCATAAACCACTAGGCCAATTTCATCCAAACTTCACAGGAATGTTCCTTTGGTGGTCACCTTTAAAAATTGTTCAAAGAATTTAATTCCATGCAGAACTCTGGTTGCCATGGCAACCGAAAGAAAAAACTTTTAATATCTTCTCTTAAAAAACCCTAAGAGCTAGAGCTTAGATATTTGGCATGAAACATCTTCTTGTGAGTGTTTACCAAGTTTGTTCAAATAAAAGCCCTGGGGTCAAAATTGGCCCCGCCCCAGGGGGTCATTGATTTTCCCTATATGCATATAGTAAAAACTTAAAAAACTTCTTTTAAAGAACTCAAAGAGCTAGAGCTAAGATATTTAGCATCAAACATGTTCTAATAGGTGTCTACCAAGTTTGTTCAAATAAAAGCCCTGGGGTCAAAATTGGTCCCGCCCCAGGGGGGTCATTGATTTTCCTTATATGTGTATAGCAAAAATTAAAAAAATCTTCTTTGAAAAAACCCAAATAGCTAGAGTTTAGATATTAAGCATGAAACATCTTCTAGTGAGTGTCTACAAAGTTTGTTCAAATAAAAGACCTGGGGTCAACATTGGGCTAGCCCCGGGGGTCATTGATTTTCCCTTATGTGTATAGCAAAAACTTAAAATCTTCTTTGAAAAAACCCAAATAGCTAGAGTTTAGATATTAAGCATGAAACATCTTCTAGTAAGTGTCTACAAAAGTTGTTCAAATAAAAGCCCTGGGGTCAAAACTGGCCCCGCCCCAGGGGTGTCATTGTTTTTAACTGTATGTATATAGTAAAAACTTTAAAAAATCTTCTTTTAAAAAGCCCAATGAGCTAGAGCTTAGATGTTTAGCATGAAACATCTTCTTATGGGTGTGGGGGTGGGCTATATACAGGTGAGCGACCTCAGGGCCATCATGGCCCTCTTGTTTAGTTGATGTCTTAGTTTAATACAAACATGCCAAGGGAGGTCCTCCTTCTTTGGGTGTAGTAAGGGTCATTTGGGTCAAGGTCAATGTTACCAATATCAAGGTCACCAATGTTAAAAATAGATTTTAACATTTTTACAGGTGTATTGACCTTATTTTATAGACAGATGTTAAATATAATTGATAGAAACATAAACTTTGATGGAGTTAGTGGTCAGTTGGGTCAAGGTCACCAGTACTAAAAATAGATTTTTACACATTTGCTCATACAGCCTTTATTAAGTGACAGATATATTTTATATTTGGTAGAAAGATAACTTTCATGGTTTTCATCCTTATGATTGGGGTAGGGATCAGTGGGTCAAGGTCACTTGTGCTAAAAATAGATTTTTACACTTTTGCCCATACAGCTTTTATTTGCTCACCTGAGCATATGCTCAGGGTGAGCTATTAGGATCACTCTTCGTCCGTCGTACGTCGTCCGTCGTACGTTGTCCGTTCACACTTTTCAAACGACATCTCCTCTGAAACCATAAGGCAGATCATAATGAAACTTCACAGGGATGTTCCTTGTGTGAAGCCTTAACAAAGTTGTTCAAAGAATTCCATTCCATGCAGAACTCTGGTTGCCATGGCAACCAAAAGAAAAAACTTTAAACATCTTCTTCTAAAAAACCCAAAGAGCTAGAGCTTAGATATTTGGCATGAAACATCTTCTAGTGAGTGTCTACTAAGATTGTTCAAATAAAATCCCTGGGGTCAAAATTTTGATGGAAAAAATCAACGCAAAATAGTGATTATTGGCAATTTTGAGATGTCCCCTAGTTGCCATGGTAACAGGAAATTTCAGACTGAGCATGTTGTTACAAAGGCAATGGTCCAGTCAACATTTGTGCAAAGTTTGATTAGTATTGAAGCAGTTTTTATAGTTTTATAGCAACTTGAACTTGTAACGGGAGACTTTTCAATGAAAACAGCCATTTTTCACAAAATGCTCATCGGGTAATGGGTTAAACAAAAACAAGTGTTGGGGGCCTAAATAAGGCATTTTTCCACCATTTGAGACAACAAAAAAGGGGGGTGAAAAGGTGTTAAAAGGTGTGTTTATAACGTAATGGGTTAAAATTGAAATTTTCAGTTTCTGCAATCTTACAGTGAAAATGCATATACAATGTTAAAGTCGGATGTGCAGGTATTTAACCAAAAAAATACAAGTCAATCTCAAATTTCGTCATGGTCAGATGTTTTTTGACAGTCATCCCCCTTTAATAAACTTGGAAAAGATTTAAAAATTCACAATTTCTAATCATTATCTTGGCTACAAATATGCAATATGCAATTTGTAAAAGATTAATACTCAGAATACGTTTAGTTTCAGGGTCTTGAACTTTGTATAAAAATGGTTTGTGTTAACATTGAATAGTTTTAAGGGCCTTGAGCTTAGAATGAAAAAAAGGTATGTGCAAACAAATTTTACTCTAAATATTATTATAACATTTGAAATTTTGTCTGCATGCGGGGGCATTCGGGGCATTACAACACATTTCTAGTTGAAGTTACATTTTATTTATCACTTCGAGTACATGCTAAGGGCTTTATAGTTTGTGACAATAATCACCTTGACGTCCAAACAAACAACTCGAACATAACAAAAATATAATTTATGGAAAAATAACTTAGAAAATGATTCGGAAAGGTATGTGCAAACAAATTTTAATCTAAATATTATTATAACATTTGAAATTTTGTCTGCATGGGGGGGCATTCATGGCATTACAACACATTTCTAGTTGATGTCACATTTTATTTATCACTTCTAGTACATGCTAAGGGCTTTATAGTTTGTGACAATAAACACCTTGACGTCCAAACAAACAACTCGAACATGAAACAAATATAATTTATGCAAAAATAACTTAAAAAATGATTCGGAAAACATATATGATCTGTCTAAGAAACATATTTATTTAAAGCATAAAGTTATAATTTAACTGACAACAAATCCATTTGGACATACATTGTTTTGCTTATGTGTGAAAATATGACTATAAAATCTTTGGTACAGAATGCTACAGATTGAATGCTACATTGAAAACCACAAAAATTTGAAGCCTGCATTTTTTTTTTTACAGAAACAGTATCTGTTTTAATTTTAAAGGCAGTGTTTTAATCATGCAGGTGCATGTTTTATATGATAAGATACCAAAAAAAGACCCTTTAATTTTCTTTATCTTTGACAGTTTTCTCTTCTCTTAAAGCTTTTGGTAAAAACTTGAACCATTGAGCCAATATGTTCATTGCTGGTTCTTGCAGAATTGAAGGTAGATGAAGATAAACAAATGGTAAAGTTTTTGCCATAAAACCACTATAATAGAATGGTTGTGCATTTTTCTCTGATACTGCCTTTACAATGGTATTAACTATAGAGGAGAGGTCTGCACTTGTTGTTGACTCATGATTATTAAACTTGAATACTGGAGTAAAACATTCTTTCCCAAAATCATCTTTTACTGTTGGAGGGGCACAAGACCACCATCTTTCAGCTACTGCCATTTTGTCGTATGCTAATATTCCTGAAATATAAATATTTAAGCTTTAAATTTGGTTTACTGTAGAAGTGCATCATGCTGTAAAGACAATCAATCCGAAGGCTCACCTAAGCAAACTCGGGGTGAGCTTTAAGGATCGTTGCATGTCCATGGTCTGTCGTCCTCGAGTCCGTCTACATTTAGTTTGTTTACACTCTAGTGGGCACATTTTTTCCTCATTTGTAGCCAAACTTGGTCAGGATGTTTATCCCAGTGATTGCTCAGATTATTTAGTACATGGGTCATTTTGGATGAAAAACTAGGTCACAGGAGCCAAAAATAGAAAAAACATGTTAACACATAATAGGCTACCGTTTGACTTTCTATCTTCATATCCTAACAATTGGCGAGATATGTTGTTTAGATGAATTCTAGCACAAGTTCGAATATGGGTATATTTTGGTTCAAAAGTAGGTCACGCAATATTTTGTAAATTGGACGGAAAAGTTGTTTAGATGATTTCTAGCTTAAGTTCAATAAGGGTCATCTGGGGTTACACAGCCCAAATATGGAAAAACCTTATAAGCTCTCTAGAAGTAACATTTTCAGCCAAAATATCCTAAAAAATTTTCAGAAAGGTTGTTTAGATGATTTCTAGGTCAAGTTCAAATTTTGGTTAAAACTCAGGGATTTTTTCCAGGATTTTGGGAATTCCAAAAAGTCAAGGTTGCTGGAGGGGGTATTTATCACCTTGATGGCTCTAGTTATAAGTTATAATAAGTAGGGAGTCCTAAACACTGACGAATGCATGACCTTTATCTTTTTATCCCCTGCCGATGGAATCAGGAGAGGGATATAACAATGTTTTGGTGTTGTTCTTCTATCCGTCCGGCCGTCCGAATTTCGTTTCCGGACTAGTTCTTTGCAACTACTGGCTGGAATTCAACGAAACTTTATAGGAATCATCAATATCAAGAGGAGATGCGCATATCGTCAGCTTGTTCCGGTCAGACCCTTTAACTCAGAGTTATGGCCCTTGATTAGTTATGCAGTATGCATAAAGAGTAAAAATTGTTTCCGCGCTACTTCTCTGCTACTACTGGCTGGAATTCAACAAAACTTAATGGGAACCTTCAATACCAAGAGGAGATGCACATATCGTCGCCTTGTTATGGTCAGACACTTTAACTCAGAGTTATGGCCCTTGATTAGTTATGCAGTATGCATAAAGAGTAAAAATGGTTTCCGCGCTACTTCTCTGCTACTGCTGGCTGGAATTCAACAAAACTTTATGGGAACCTTCAATACCAAGAGGAGATTGGCATATCTTCGCCTTGTTCCGGTCAGACACTTTAACTCAAGAGTTATGGCCCTTGATTAGTTATGCAGTATGTATAAAGAACAATATTCGTTTCCGCGCTACTTCTCTGCAACTACTGGCTGGAATTCAATGAAACTTTATGGGAACCTTTAATAACAAGAGGAGATGCGCATATCATCGCTTTGTTCCGGTCAGACACTTTAACTCAGAGTTATGGCCCTTGATTAGTTATGCAGTATGCATAAAGAGTAAAAATCGTTTCTGCGCTACTTCTCTGCAACTACTGGCTGGAATTCAAGGAAACTTTATAGGAATCATCAATATCAAGAGGATATGTGCATATCGTCAGCTTGTTCCAGTCAGACCCTTTAACTCAGAGTTATGGCCCTTGATTAGTTTTGCAGTATGCATAAAGAGTAAAAATCGTTTCCGCCCTACTTCTCTGCAACTACTGGATGAAATTCAAGGAAACTTTATAGGAATCATCAATATCAAGAGGATATGTGCATATCGTCAGCTTTGTTCTGGTCAGACCCTTAAACTCAGAGTTATGGCCCTTGATTAGTTATGCAGAATGCATATAGAGTAAAAATCATTTCCGCGCTACTTCTCTGCTACTAGTCTGGCTGGAATTCAACAAAACTTTATTTGAACCTTCAATACCAAGAGGAGATGCGCATATCGTCGCCTTGTTCCGGTCAGACACTTAAACTCAGAGTTCTGGCCCTTGATTAGTTGTGCAGTATGCATATAGAACAATATTCGTTTCCACGCTACTTCTCTGCAACTACTGACTTGAATTCAATGAAACTTTATGGGTACATTCAGTTCCAAGAGGAGATGCGTATATCGTCGCCTAATGTTCCGGTCAGTCACTTCAACTCAAGAGTTATGGCCCTTGATTAGTTATGCAGTACTGGCTGGAATTCAACAAAAGTTCATAGGAATCATCAATATCAAGAGGAGATGCGCATTATAGTTGGCTTGTTCTGGTCAGACACTTTAACTCAGAGTTATGGCCCTTGATTAGTTTTGCAGTATGCATATAGAGCAAACTTTATGGGAACCTTCAATACAAAGAGGAGATGTGCATATCACCACCTTGTTCCTGTCAGACACTTTAACTCATAGTAATGGCCCTTGATTAGTTATGCAGTATGCATATAGAGAAATAATTGTTTCCGCGCAACTTCTCTGCAACTACTGGCTGGAATTCAATTAAACTTTATGCGAACCATTAATACCAAGAGGAGATGTGCATATTGTTGCCTTGTTCATTACAGAGTTATGGCCCTTGATTAGTTATGTAGTATGCATATAGAGCAATATTGCTTTTTCTTTGCAACTGCTGTATTGATTTCAATAAAACTTTATGGCAACCATGGATACACAAAGGCAATTTACATCTCATTGGCATGTCAAGATATTACTATTTAACACAGAGTTACGGCTCTGTTATTGCCCTGAATATTTATCAAGTACAAAGAATATTACTGTTTATGCCATGATAAATATATAAATAAAGCCTTATGTCTTCAGTTGTTGTGTAAGTAATAACCAGTTCTCGGCGGGGGATATAAATTCAACGAATTTGCTTGTAAGGATCTAGGCTCCAGGGAGAGGATATAAGTTGCACAATATAATATTATACATAATAATATATAAAAACATTGTATCGAAATTAAAATATTGATGTGATGTTTGTTGTTTTAAATCAGTGTTTTAAAGTTATTTACGCAAAAAAGAAAGCATATATAAACTGCTGTAAGGTGACCATGGGCCTCTTGTTTTTTTTTTTTTAGAAATTAGTATTTTTTACTCAAACTTCTTCATTCCTTATAGGATTTACTTCAAACTCCCACATCATAATAATATGACCAGGTTTATAAATCTAGCATCCATAATTTCAGAATTATCTCCTCCTTGAACTTTCAATTTTTAACCAGGTTTTCAACGAATGCAGAAGTGGGCGGGCGGGCCTTTGGGCGGGCAGGCGTCAACTTTTGGTTTCTGCTCAATAACTTTAGTTTGCTTTGGCCTATTGACACGAAACTTGGTGTTGACACCAACGTTGGTGTGGAGGTAGCTTATATCAAGAGGCAGCCTGGGATTGCTACCCAGGTGTCTGCGATCAAGGTCAAGGTCACTGTTACTAAACATAGAAATTCAGTTTCTGCTCAATAACTTGAGTTTGCTTTGGCCTATTGATGCTTAATTTGATGTGTAGGTAGCTTATATCAAGAGACAGTGTGGGATTGCTACCCAAGTGTCTGTGATTAAGGTCAAGGTCACTGTTACTAAAAATAGAAATTCAGTTTCAGCTCAATAACTTGAGTTTGCATTGGCCTATTGACACTAAACTTGGTGTATGGATAGCTTATATCAAGAGGCAGCATGGGATTGCTACCCAGGTGTCAGTGGTCAAGGTCACTGATACTAAAAATAGAAATTCAGTTTCTGCTCAATAACTTGAGTTTGCTTTGGCCTATTGACACCAAATGTGATGAATGGGTTGCTTGTATCAAGAGGCAGCTTTGGATTGCTACCCAAGTGTCTGTGATCAAGGTTAATATATTCAGTTTTCACGTAATAACTTGAGTTTGCTTTGACATTTTGACACCAAACTTGCTGTGTGGCAGCTTTGGATTGCCACTTAGATATCTGGGGTCAAGGTCATTTGCTTGCAATAGAATTTTCAGCTTCTACTCAATAACTTCAGTTCACTTTGACCTATTGATTGCTGTCACATAAAAACTGTATGATGGTCGTTGAAAACCTGGTTTTCGTCGCATTGCGGCGCTTCTTGTTCTTTCATTTTTGTGTAGCCTCTACGGAGAAGTGGCGACATATAGGGATCACTTCTCCGTCGTCTGTCTGTCTGTCCGTCCATCCGTCACAAATCTTGCCCGGACTACTCCTCATAAACTACTGGTGCAATTTCATCCAAACTTTACAGAAATGATCAGTACCAAGTCTAGTTGTGCATATTGTCAGCATTTTCCGGTTCAATGATTTTTGTCAGAGTTATGGCCCTTTAATAATTTTTATTTTTAAAGTTTGTCCGGACTACTTCTCTTATACCACTAATGCAATTTCAATGAAACTTTACAGGATTGATCTGTAGGTCAAGTCCTTGCGCATATTGCACGGGTTTTCCGGTTAAATGATTTTTGGCCGAGTTATGGCCCTTTGATAAAAAGGTGTTTTTTCTGTGTGTTGCCATATACACAAAAGCTTGTCCGGATTACTCCTCATAAACTACTGGTACAATTTCATCCAAACTTTACAGGAATGATCAGTACCAAGTCTAGTTGTGCATATTGTCAGCATTTTCCGGTTCAATGATTTTTGTCAGAGTTCTGGCCCTTTAAAAAAATTTATTTTTAAAGTTTGTCTGGACTACTTCTCTTATACCGATAATGCAATTTCAATGAAACTTTACAGGATTGATCTGTAGCTCAAGTCCTTGCGCATATTGCATGGGTTTTCCGGTTGAATGATTTTTGGCCGAGTTATGGCCCTTTGATAAAAAGGTGTTTTTTTTTCTGTGTGTTGCCAGATACACAAAAAGCTTGTCCGAACAACTCCTCATAAACTACTGGTGCAATTTTATCCAAACTTTACAGGAATGATCAGTACCAAGTCTAGTTGTGCACTGTCCGTCTGTCTGTCCGTCTGTCACAAAACTTGTCCCAACATGAAATTGGCCATCATGAGGCGACACATATGATCACTGATCGCCCTTGTTTAACTTTCTTATTTCTTGACTTAAATTAAAAATATACATTATTATCAACACCTACATCATATGTGATTAGTTTATAAATTGTGGGTTTCCATGGGTATTTTCATTTTGAACTCAAATTTAACTTCTTCTTTGAATCTATAAATGGTATTATTATGCCCCCCTTCAAAGAAGTGGGGGTATATTGCTTTGCATTTGTCTGTCGGTCGGTCCGTAGGTCCATAGACCAAATGGTTTCCGAGTGATAACTAAAGAACGCTTAGGCCTAGGAACTTCAAACTTGGAAGGATGATTGTTCATGACCAGTAGATGACCCCCATTGATTTTGAGGTCAAGGGGTCAAAGGTCAAGGTCACATTGACCTTGTAGGTAAAAACAGTTTCCGAGTGATAACTTAAGAACCCTTAGGCCTAGGACACTTTCTGATCAATATCCTGGGCCCTTTACCTTCAAACTTTGCAGGTGCATTGGTCTTGGCCAGTAGTTAACCCCTATTGATTTAGGGTCATATTGACCTTGTATGTAAAGACTGTTTCTGACCAATAACTCAGCAACTCAAGTTGCCTTGGTTGATATTTTTTTATTAAACTAAACATCCTTTTGGTATACACATTTCAAGGTCTTATGTCATATAACAACTTGGCTGTCATTAATGAGGCCTACATGATTCAAAAAATTATTGCATATATTATTTGGTAAGATTTGAAATAACTTGGTCATAAAATTGCTGCACACAACCTTTGCGGTCACAATTACCTAGTGACTAGTCATGACCAGTAATTAACCCATATTGATGTCACTAGGTCAAAAGTCAGTCATAATAAACTGATCACATGACTAATTGGCTGCCCATAGGGGGCATACATGTTTTACAAACATACATGTACAGTCCGACCCCGGTTATTCGACAACCCATTATTCGAATACCCGGCATTATCCGAAGTTGATCTATGGTCCCGTTTTCATCTCTATATAAACTAATATAAATACCATCGTATTATTCGAAATGCATTATCCGAATACCTCCTATTTTTCGAAGCAAAATTTCGGTCCCGATTATATCATTATATAAGAATTTCACACCTATTATTCGAAGCCAGACTAATTGGCACTGATTGACTCGCTGACCGTCCCGACTTGTGAAAAACTTTGCGGAAAAACTTCTAACAACGGTGCGTGTATTTAGTTAATCGTGATAATAACAATTTGCGTGTACATTTGCAACTTTAATTACCGAACATAAATTGTACGCTTTTAATTGGACGGTTAAAAGTGTTTAAAATAATTATTTTAATCAATGAATGAAACTTAAACAAATGAAAATAAACTGTGATATTAATTGGATGGTTAAATCTGTTCAAATTAAGATTTTAATTACAGAATGGATTGAAAAAAATAAACAAATAAAAACAGACAACTAGCGAGCTGTGTCATGTTTTTCTTTATAAATGTGAATTCCTAGTTTCTATTTCAAATCAGTGCAATATGTCTACGTTAGCACAAGATATTCTGGCTGAGCAATCTTGGATGTTTAATATTACCGAAATGTGTCTGTGAAAATTACATTTAGAAGTGAAAAATAATATGACTTTTCAAGTTGCTTGTTTATATTTTGACGAAGATAAAATATTAATATTACTTGTATAATGTTGAATACATTTGTAATGCATGTACATGTATATCTATGTTTTAAACCGATGTTGTTTTTTTTCTCTCATTCGGAGGATGATAGCGATATTTTTAATGTTCATGCATGTTTATATTAACCTATACGCTATATGTGCTACAGAATCTGGAAATAAAATGCAAGCAGTTATGTTTTAGTTAACAATAATAATATTTTAAACATTTATCATTGTTTATTTGTTTTTCTCGATTGATTACCGGTAACAGATGAGTTGTAAACATTAATTTTCGCTAGAATTTGCGATATGGTCAAGTAGTGTAGTTTTCGTCTATCACTATGTTCGGATATGGATTATTCGAACCCATCGATTTTTCGAAGTAAATTTTCAGTCCCGGGAACTCCGAATAATCGAGGTTGGACTGTATCTTGTTAACTGATGTCTTTCATTTTTGTAATTTTATAATTACTTATGATGATAATTTGACACATATAAGAATTTGTTAAAAATGTAAGGCAAATTTACAGAAGCAGAAAAAAAGATGGTGATGATGTTCTGAAAAATGAAGTTAATCTTGCTCAGTTTACATTTATTTTATGAATGGATGTGAATATTTGCTAAAACTTATTTATTGTTAACATTTTTTTTTAAAGATAACTTTTGAAGCTACTGCAGGAACAAAATTAATTATGTATATGGCAAAGGTAACTTTTGATACTATTACATAGACGTTAGAAACAATCATTTATACAGGTATAAACTTCTTTTTTATTTTATGCTTTTTAGTGGATTTCTGATTTATCTGTGAAAATTTTATTTGATAATTTCACAGTGAAAATTATCAAAATATAATTTCACACTTTATAATGATGAAACTACTTTTTAGCTCACCAGAGCCGAAGGCTCAGGGTGAGCTATTAGTATCAAAGGGGGATGCTCCGGCGTCAGTCGTCCGTCGTCATGCGTCAACAATTGTCTTCTTCTCTGAAACTACCAAGCAGATTTACTTCAAATTTGGTCTGTAGCATCCTTGTGACAGTCACACTTGAATTTGCTCATGTCATTCCAATTGGCCCCTTTTAGGGGTCAGCAGAGCTAAAAATAGAAAAACCTTTAAACATCTTCTTCTACAGAACTAATGGATGGATGATCACCAAACTTTGTCTGTAGCATTCTTGGGTAGTCTTTTATCAAGTTTGCTCATATTAATTTGATTGGCCCCTTTTAGGGGTCTCTAGGGCTAAAAATAGAAAAACCTCTAAACATCTTCTTCTACAGAACTAATGGATGGATGATCACTTAACTTTGTCTGAAGCATTCTTGGGTAGTGCTTTATCAAGTTTGCTCATATGAATTTGATTGGCCCCTTTTAGGGGCCGCTAAAGCTAAAAATAGAAAAACCTTTAAACATCTATTTCTACAGAACTAATAGATGGATGATCACCAAACTTTGTCTGTAGCATTCTCAGGTAGTCTTTTATCAAGTTTGCTAATATTATTTTGATTGGCCCCTTTTAGGGGCCTCTAGGGCTAAAAATAGAAAAACCTTTAGACATCTTCTACAGAACTAATCGATGGATGATCACCAAACTTTGTCTGTAGCATTCTTGGGTAGTCTTTTATCAAGTTTGCTCATATTAATTTGATTGGCCCCTTTTAAGGGCCGCTATAGCTAAAAATAGAAATACCTTTAAATGTCCTCTTCTACAGCACTAATTGATGGATGATCACCAAACTTTGTCTGTAGCATTTTTAGATAGTCTTTTATCAAGTTTGCTCATATTAATTTGATTGGCCCCTTATAGGGGTCTCTAGGGCTAAAAATAGAAAAACCTTTAAACATCTTCTTCTACAGAACTAATGGATGGATGATCACTTAACTTTGTCTGAAGCATTCTTGGGTAGTGCTTTATCAAGTTTGCTCATATGAATTTGATTGGCCCCTTTTAGGGGCCGCTAAAGCTAAAAATAGAAAAACCTTTAAACATCTATTTCTACAGAACTAATAGATGGATGATCACCAAACTTTGTCTGTAGCATTCTCAGGTAGTCTTTTATCAAGTTTGCTAATATTATTTTGATTGGCCCCTTTTAGGGGCCTCTAGGGCTAAAAATAGAAAAACCTTTAGACATCTTCTTCTACAGAACTAATCGATGGATGATCACCAAACTTTGTCTGTAGCATTCTTGGGTAGTCTTTTATCAAGTTTGCTCATATTAATTTGATTGGCCCCTTTTAAGGGCCGCTATATCTAAAAATAGAAATACCTTTAAATGTCCTCTTCTACAGCACTAATTGATGGATGATCACCAAACTTTGTCTGTAGCATTTTTAGATAGTCTTTTATCAAGTTTGCTCATATTTATTTGATTGGCCCCTTTTAGGGGTCTCTATGTCTAAAAATAGAAAAACCTTTAAACATTTTTTTCTACAGAACTAATTGATGGATGATCACCAAACTTTGTCTGTAACATTCTAAGGTAGTCTTTTATCAAGTTTGCTCATATTAATTTGATTGGCCCCTTTTAGGGGCCACGCTTAATCTGAAAATAGAGATACCTTTAAACATCTCCTTCTACAGAACTAATCGATGGATGATCACCAAATTTTGTCTGTAGCATTCTCAGGTAGTCTTTTATCAAGTTTGTTCATATTAATTTGATTGGCCCCTTTAAGGGGCCACTAAAGCTAAATATAGAAAACCTTTGAACATCATCTCCTACTGAAATATTTGATGGATGATCACCAAACTTTGTCTGTAGCATTTTTAGGTAGTCTTTTATCAAGTTTGCTCATATTGATTTGATTGACCCTGTTTAAGCTAAAGCTTAAATGCCCCAAGTCATGACATTTCTTCAAATTATAGTTTAAAGATATTCTATGCTAGAAAATATTGACAATGGATTATAAAATAATTGTGTTTTGACTTCATGCAAAGTAGATATGTTATGTTTTAAACTCTTCACACAGTATCAATATAATGATAAAGTCATTGAAAAACTGTTTTTTTATATATAGAAAAGACCAACTTTACTTGGCCTATAATAGGATATGCAGCTTCCTATACATAGTTTCCAAATTAGACATTTTCAGTAAGAATTTCATAAATTTCAATAAATTTCTATGACTCAAAGATCTTTTCATAATGAAAGGGAAACAACTCATGTTGGAATGTGTACATATGTTAGTCAGTTTTTCCAAAAGAGTTCAATGCTTGGAGAAAGCCTTAATGTCATGACCTGTTTATGATGTGTAAATATCTCATAGCTCTAGAATTCAGACATCATATTGCATAAGGTCAGTTGTAGGTCATTAACCAGGAAAAAAATTAGGCCTAAAGAAACATTAAATTTGTTTCTCCAGTACCTTTTTAACAAAGATGAGTTTGTATGCTCAATTTTTTTATTGAATTTTGTTAAAAATTGTATTTTTTTTGTTAAATTGGATTTAAACTTGGAAAAAGCACATTTTAATAAATTTTGGGACAGACTGTTGAACCTGAGTTTCATGTGCATAATTGAATTTTGGTATCAGTGGAACTGTTTTTGATATTTATGAAACCATTGTACATACTTTCTTGTTTTTGATGAACAGAGACTTGGATTTTGGAATGATGTATAGAGACTTGAAATTTGGACCAGGTATGTAATTTCTGATGCGAAACGAATTAAGATATCAACTGACTACTGAATGGGTTTAATTTCTGATCCTGAATTAATATGAATTTTGATATTTGAACTGGCCTACTTTTGATATATTTGATATCGCTTTACCTACTTTCTTTGTCTTTTATGTACAGACTTGAAATTTGGACCAGGGGTGTAATTTGTGTAATTTTTGATGTTGAACTCAATTTTGATACCAGCTGACCTACTTTAGGTATTATCAGGGCATTTTTTGTCAAAATTGTGAAGGAGCTTGGACCTGTTCATTTTGTGAAAAAAGCGTGATTTGTCATTAAATTGTGAAAAATTACATATTATTTGGCATTTAGCGACATAATGAAACCGGAAAATGTCTTCAAGTCGGTACTTTAACCCACGTAACATGCTCTTAAACCATTTAAATTGATTAAAACTATTTCTGTGTTCTTGAAATTGGCGTAAATCATGATTAACTGGAGGGTAAACAATGTATTTCAAAGACAAGGTCCCAATATTTTGTGAAATTTCTTTTGAAATTGTGAATTTTTTTCTGCCACTTTGTGAAAAAAAAAGTGCAATTTTGAATTGTGAAGGGGCCTTATATCGGCCCCTGTTATAGAAGGAAAAAAAGCCCTGATTATTGACACCAATTGACACCAATTGACCTACTTTCTTGTATTTTGACATTTGGACCAGGTTTGTAAATTCTGATGCCATAATGAATTTTGATATCAACTGACCTACTTTTGATATTTTTGATATAATTTGACCTTCATTCTTGTGTTTTATGACATACAGACTTAAAATTTGGACTAGGGGTGTAATTTCTGATGCTGAATTGAATGTTGATATCAACTGGCCTACTATATTTCTTACAATGTTTGACCTATTGTCTTTTTTTGAGGTACAGTTATGTTACCGTACAGAATGTATAAAAATTTGTTGTCCCAAACTGTAAACTTCAAACATCTACACCTTACATGTTTTGCATATGACATTTTGTGTTTTCATTCAAAAATGTTATAAAAAAAAGTGTCCAGTCGAAATTAATCCTGCTCTAGTGGTCATTTGTTCTGTATTTATTCTACATAGTCTCATAGGAACACACTTGCAACATACATATTTTTAACAAAGCCTTTCCAAAATATTAGGGCAAAATATTTCAATTTATATTGGGAATAATGAAATGATGGGTTAGATGAGTGATCTAGGGCCATCTTAGTGGCCCTATTGTTTATTATGAAGAATAAAAGCTAAAACAATCAGTGTTGTGAAAGTATATTACTACAGGGGCAAGTTAAATTGAGTTGAACTTGCCGAAAGAGCTGGACTTGCCTTTCAGCAACTTCTTTTGAAAAATGATTTCCAACACTGAAAAGCAGTTGTTTCTGGTGAGCGACTCAGGGCCATCATGGCCCTCTTGTTTAAGATTTTCCCCTTTGTGGTACCTCAATTTTATTTTTGCTGACAATTCTGACAATGTCAGGCTGTTCAGAGAAAAGCAAAGCTGAAATTGATAAATAACTTAAATGTCAAAAGTAATAAAAAGAAGAAAACTTACTTCTATTCATTCAAATTACCTATCACCAAATATCGTCTCTAATTTCTTTGTTTAATTTTTACAGTCTGAAAAATACATTCCTTCCACATGCAAAACTGCTCTTGATGACATTTGGGCATATTTAAGTATCCTACGAGCAATAACTGCCATATGCTTTATGAAAACTTGAAAAGCAATGACAGCCATCAGCCCGAAGTAAAGTAAACAACCCAACGTTCGTAAGAATTCCAAGTTATCCAATTTCCTAGCTGCTTTTTGAATATTTACACATCTGTCAACACTTATTTATTGTCTGTTACAATCCTCAAATAAGTTTTCTTTTGAAAGGTGTATGACTAACAAATCCAAATGACATCCCTCTGAATCATTATTTTCCTCCAGTGAAATACACAACTTTTAAAAATGGCGGCCGCTTACATTTAATAAAGCCAGGTCTAATATACATGTAAATTCGCAGTAAGTAACAGAAATATGGATGGATGGTTGGACTTTTACTCCTACTAGAATCGTTTGTTTTTATTATTAAAACAAGGGATCATTCATATTTTTTTTATTAAAATGAATAATATCACCGCCATTTAACGTTGATTGTCCAACTCATATTTCAGCCCAAGACTTCTTGTATTTCATGAGAAATTCGACTAAATGAGGCTCACAATGGGAAAAACAGATTTTAATATTAATGTTAATATTAAGGAAATTTCGTTTTAACTTGTTTTTAAGCATAAAATAACTTGTTTTTAGGCATAAAATAAAAAGAAAATTTGTTTGTTTTTTGTGTAAGATGTAATTTTATGAGAATACTGTTTTTAAAGCCCTGACTCAATGAAATAAAATTTCATTTTACACACAAACAAACAAATATCCTCTATATAAGTGCAACCATTGTAGTAACTTAAGAATTGTCTTACTTCACACATCATTTAGAATTGAAAATAAAATAAAACAATTGTTGGGAGTCCTTTTGTAAGGATGTAATGATACGCTTACCACACGATAGGATACGTATCATGGTACAGGGTCCACAATACGATACATATCTCAATACCATTCCATTTCAACTTGATAACTTCACACAGTAATATTATGTAATGCTTAAAATTAATTTTGAGTTGAAACAACAATAGTACTGTAATTTCCACAATATTTCATAACTACCAAGTAAGTATTAATCAAATGAGTCCTTTGCATTGAAGAATGCAGTATGGTCTTATATCAAGTGAATGACTTTGCCAATGTTTTTAGTTTTCTATGTACATTTTGATAGTTAAAATAAAACCTCTAACATTTTCTTATACTGTAAAAAAATATCTAGAATGAAAAGGTACCATTTAAATATGCATGTACAGGTAACAGAAATATCACATGTTTAATGAAAGGTCTTAACAGAAGGTTAACAAAATTTTAAGGCCCTTAACAGAAAAGGTTTTAACATAATTTTGGGTCTTAACAAAAGGGTTTAACATAATTTTGGGTATAATAGTAAAATTCATTGTAATTCTTTTATAGATAAACACTTTAAAAAAGGGTTTTAAAAAAAGCAATACTTGTATCAGAAAGGGGTTTTTTGTCGAAACCATGTGAAAACAGTTACGATATACAGTATACCGTTACACCCTTATTTAAAACCTGCATCAATGATAAGTCTTGTATATACCTGTTTTATAACCGCTTGGAATTATTGTTGATACTTGAACATCCCATTGCTTCATTTCATAGCGTAAACATTCAGAAAATGTGGCTAAGGCAGCTTTTGAAGCACAGTACATTCCCATGTGTGGAACAGGAGCTAGACCTGTAAATATAACACTTTGCTATGTTATCTCAATTATCTTTGAAAGTTTTATTGATAAAATTTGAAACTAGGAAATAAGAGAACTTCTACCAGTTGCATTGCATGCTTTGTACTAAACTGTTCATTTAAGTGTTTGTATTTTTTAGTTCATCTGAAGCACAAAGGCTCAAAGGTGGTTGTGCACAATTTCTTTAAACAACAATTTAAACAACAATTCATAGTAAACAACTGGATGCATTTTGACAGGAATGTTCCGTAGGTGGTCCTCTACAAAAGTTATAAAAATGGTTCCAGTCTGATGCATAAATAGGTCAAAAGAGCTAAATATAGACTTCAAAAATGATAGTTTTAAAATTCTTCTAAGAAACTGCAATAGTTTTAAAATTCTTCTAAGAAACTGCAATGCTTAGATATTTGGCATTTTACAAAACCTCTTGGTCCTATACAAAAGGATAATAAATCATGCCCCTGGCTGCATCCATAAATGGCCCCACTATAAAGTGTGTTATAGATTATTTAGTGAACTTAAAGATCCTGTATGTTGTAATTGAGGTTGTATACCACACTCAAATGAAATTTTATATATGTATATAATTATGCTTACAAAACAATTTTCAAACATCGAGGAATATGTAAAAAAACCTGCAAATATTTGTGCACATTATATGTAATCATTAAAATATATGCATTCATTTCTAATTGAAAAATTTGACATAGACTTTATAGAAAATAAATTTCTAATTACCTCCCTTTATTTGCATGAAATGTAAAATTTCTTTATAAATAATGCTTTTTGGAACTTACAATATTGATAAATCTTAATTTTAGCATCTTATTTATGATATAAAGCCATAAAAAATTGTGTAACAGGATCTTAAAAAAAATCTCAAAAGGCCTAGAGCTTAGATATTTTGCATAAGGCATTGTCTGGTAGACCTCTACCAAGATTGTTCAAATTATAGCCCTGGGGTCAAAAATGACCACGCTCGGGGGTCATTGATTTTCACTATATGTACATATAGTAAAAACTTAAAATACCTTCTTGTCTTGAGGTACAAGGCTTAGAGGTTTGATATATGGTATGATATCATCTATAGGTAATCTACCAAAATTGTTCAAATTTTGCCTCTAGTGTCAAAATTAGCCCTAGCCCCGGGGGTCTTAGGTTTTCCTTATATGTATATAGTAAAAACTTAGATATTTTGAAACATTTTGTAGTGAACCTCTAACAAGATTGTTCAAATTATAGCCCTGGGGTCAAAATTGGGTCCACAACGGGATCATTGATTTTCACTATATGTACATATAGTAAAAAATTAAAAAATCTTTTTTTTTTTGAAGGTACGAGGGTTGTTCGGAAAGTTTTGAGACTGGGTCAATATTTAGCGTTGGAAAAGATAAAATCAAACAAGAGTTTACTATGTATTACTTTAATACCTCATCTATTATAGTGTAAAATTTCATAACAATAGCTTCATGTATACAAAAGCTACAAAGCGTTAGGCACAGACACTACCAGTGACCCGGCGCACGCAACGACGTTATCCGACGTTGCCGTTATTTCCAGAGTTTAACGTCACCGTAGAAAAGTCAACTGCTACTCCTTTTCAAAGTATCTTCCTTCACAACGTACACATTTCTCATGCCTCGTAACCCACTTGGCGATTACATTTCTATACCAGTCAGATTTAAATGTTGCAATAATGCTCATAACTCTAGAGCGCAGTTCAACTAGGTCCTCAAACCGGATTCCTCGTAGTTCGGATTTGATGGCCGGAAAAGTCCATATGTTTCCCAACGGATTTGGTTACACGTGCTTTCTTCGGGGGTGGATACGACGTGTGCTTCCAAACTGAAGACTGCGACTTTGTTTCTGGGTCGTAGTAGTAAAACCAGGACTCGTCGGTGGTAATAATTCTGTCTAAGAACGCGTCGCCTTCTCTCTGGTATGAACGTAGAAACTGTCGAGATGCTTTTACTCGGTTTTCTTCCTGATCAGCCGTCAATAATCTCGGTACCCAACGTGCCGAAACCCGAGACATTGCAAGTGTCTCAATTAACATTTTGTGAGCAGTTGCCGTACCTACATCACAAACTTCTGCAACTTCTCTTACTGTTATGCGACGGTCGCACTGAAGCGCGTTTCTTGCAAGTGTCAGTTTATCGTCGATGATGGATGGGCGACCGCTCCTTTCCTTGTCTTTTGTTGACTTTCTGCCATCCCGAAACTCTTTATGCCATCTAAATACCAATGGTCGACTAACAGTACGTCCGTTGTTTGCCTGTTCTAGAAGTTGCTTAGTTTCTGTTGGCGTTTTCCCAAGATTAACGCAAAACTTAATAAAAACACGCTGTTCCTCTTTTGACGGTGTTTCCATAGTCGTTGTCTTGTCGGGCACGTATTGCTATAATGATCTGCGGTAACGGCTTAAACAACTAGCGGAAATGACGTCCTTAAGTTGGAAGTGACGTCATAAAATTTTCGTGACGTTTGGCACAATTTTAGGGGCTCTTTTTATTCAGTAAGAAAACTTATAACAAGAAAATAGTCCGTGCGCCAGGATGCGTAGACAGGTGTTGCTATGGAAACGATTATATGCCGTATAGTAACGTTACAACGTTTTAAAGACATAACTCGGATAAATAACATATTAAGCTATAATTTGTATTAAATAATATTCGCAGCTGTAATTAGAAACAGAGAAAATCATATTGTCTCAAAACTTTCCGAACAACCCTCGTACATGGCTCAGAGCTTTGACATTTGTTATATGGTATCATCTATAGGTACTCTACCAAAGTAGTTCAAATTTTGCCTCTAGTGTCAAAATTAGCCCCGCCCTGGGGGTCATAGGTTTTCCTTATATGTGTAAAGTAAAAACTTTAAAAAAATTATCTTCTCGAAATTGACAAATGCTAAAGGTTAGATATTTTGCATGAAAGGTTTTCCTCAGTATATATATATAAAGTAAAAACTTAAAAAATCCTCTTCTCTAAATTGACAAAGGCTGGAGGTTAGATATTTTGCATGAAGCATTGTGTAGTGAACCTCTACCAAGATTGTTCAAATTATAGCCCCGGGATCAAAATTGGCCACATCCCCGAGGGTCTTTCATTTTCACTATGTACATATAGTAAAAGATTAAAAAATCTTCTTGTCTGAAGGTACAAGGCTTAGAACTTTGATATTTGGTATATAATATTATCTATGAGTCCTCTACCAAAGTTGTTTAAATTATGCCCCTAGTGTTAAAATTGCCCTGCTCCAGAGGTGATAGTTTTCCTTATATGTATAAAGTAAAAACTTGAAAAATGTTCTTCTCTGAATTGACAAAGGCTAGAGGTTAAATATTTGGCATGAGACTTTGCGTAGTGAACCTCTACCAAGATTGTTCAAATTATAGCCCTGGGGTCAAAATTGGCCCCCGCCCCGGGGTCATTGATTTTCACTATGTACATATAGTAAAGAATTTTAAAAAAAATCTTCTTGTCTGAAGATACAAGGCATAGAGCTTTGATGTTTGCTATATAATATCATCTGTAGGTCCTCTACCAAAGTTTTTTCTCCTGGTGTCAAAATTGGCACTGCCCGGGGGCATTGATTCTCATTATGTACGCATAGTAAAAACAGAAACTAAAACAAATGTTTTCTGAATGGGAGAAAGCTACAGCTTAGATATTTGACATGATACGTTGTTTGGTGGACCTGTATCAAAGATTGTTTTAAATTAAACCCTTGGATCAAAATTTTGCATTTCCCAAGGGGACAGTGACCTACCAGTGTTTTTTTTCCACCAAAATATTTGGCCAAATTCGGCCCCATTCCCCCTTCAAAATAGTATGTTTTTTCCCCCCTTAAAGCTGAAGTTTCCCCCTATACAGCAGCCAGAATTTGCCTGCAAAGAATATCATTATTTTTTTGCAACTAACTGCCGAAAACTGTTTTATTTTATACCTGTAGCACTGACTGTTAAGCAAGGTTGTTTACAAATCATTCTCAGGTAGGTAAGATATACTCCCGGCATCAAAACAAGTTTAACATGTGAAGCGTCAGTATTTAAGATCCATATATCAAGAAAAAGCAAATAAAATCCCCCCTCCTATTGCATTTTTCCCCCTCCATAGGGCTCTGTTCTTTCTCTTTAATGCTTTCATGTGGCTATTTTCTTTTGTGTGGCTAAAAAGAACAATGGAGAGAACAATAGAGTAGCCACATAATTACTGTCCTGTGAGAACGTCCGTCCGTTAGCAATTTGGTTTCCGGAGCATAACTTAAGTTCCATTTGACCCACAATGTTCAAACTTCATAGGATGATTGTCCATAATGGGTAGAAGACCCCTATTGATTTTTGGGTCAAAATGTCAAAGGTCAAGGTCACTATTACCTAAAAACTGAAAACAGTTTCCGGAGCATAACTTAAGTTCCATTCGACCCACAATGTTCAAACTTCATAGGATGATTGTCCATATTGGATAGAAGACCCCTATTGATTTTGGGGTCACAAGGTCAAAGTCACTTTTACCTTAATACTGAAAACAGTTTCTAGCGCATAATTAAAGTTCCATTTGGCCCACAATATTCAAACTTCTTAGGATGATTGTCCATATAAGGTAGAAGACCCCTATTGATTTTGGGGTCACAAGGTCAAAGGTTAAGGTCATTATTAATAACTTAAGTATTAATCAACCTACAGCTGTAAAATTTTATAGGATGAACAGCTAATTCCCGTGTCTTACAAATGCTTCATCCTTACTAAAAAAAACCAAAACACTTTCGGGCATATAATGCTCCGCCTAGCGGTGCTCTTGTTATTTTTAAAGTGTGTAGGGACTACTCCTCTTATACCACTTATGCAATTTCAATGAAACTTAACAAGATTGATAGGTAGGTCAAGTGCTTTTGCATATTGCACGGGTTTACATTTGAATGATTTGTGGCTGAGTTATTGCCCTCAATAAAAAAGGTGCTTTTTTGTGTTGCCAGCTACATAGAAGTTGCAATTTCATCAAAACTTTAGGGGAATGATCATACCATGTCTAGTTGTGCATCTCATCAACATTTTTGGTTCATTGATTTTTGTCAGAGTTATTGCCCTTTCATGATTTTAATTTTGAAATTTGTCTGGACTACTTCTGTTTTACCACTAATGCAATTTCAATGAAACTTTACAGGATTGATCAATAGCTCAAATTCATGTCCATATTACACAGGTTTTTAAGTTGAATGATTTTTTGCTGAGTTATGGTGGCTATCATGAGGCGACACATGTCATCACTGATGGCCCTTTTGATGTTGAAAACTATATTCTTGTCCTCTGATGTACAGCCATGAAATTTGGACCATGTCACAGTTTTAGAAGTAAATTGAACTTAAAGGTAGTAAAATTATGAACATCAAAGATTGTTCAAATTATGCTGCTAGGATGAAAAGGGGCCCTGCCAGGGGGCTTATTAGTTTTATATAAAGTTATATCAGCAAAATATTCCTGTCAAAATCCACAAGGCCTAGAGCCTTGATATTTGGTATGTAACATCATCTTGTGGTTGTCTGCAAAGATTGTTCAAATAATGACCCTAGGGTCAAAGGGGGCCCTGCCTTGATATTTGGTATGTAACATGATCTAGTGTCACAGAGTGACAAGGTAAGCTTTTGTGACACCACCATTGTCGGCCTTCATCTGTCTGTCCGTTAACTTTTTCTTTTAAATGACTTCTCCAATACCCCTTGGCCAAATTTAATGAAACTTGGCAGACATGTTCCTTGCATGAAGCTCTACCAAAGTTGTTAACAAAATTGAATTCCATCCAGAACAGAAGATATTATGACAAAATATATATCTCAACAAGACCTAGTGCAGATTTGAAACTTAGTCATATAGGTTCAGAAACTAAGTCACCCTATCAGATCTTGGGGAATTCCAATCCTGTAGCCCTTCTTGTTCATGAAATCTGTCAGGAGCGCTTTTGTGCTAAATAATTTAACTATCAGGGATTTTTAGCACAAATGCTCTCATTTCCTGATAGATATTTTATGAACAGGAAAGGCTAGAAACTTGGGGACGGGGTCTCATTTGGAAGCTAATACAATAATAATGGAATACGTGAAATTGTGATACATTTTTATGCCATCGGAGCATCTGCGATGCGGTGGCATATAGCGATTCACCTGTGTGCGTGCGTGCTTGCATACATGTGCATGCATGCATGCATGTATGTGTGTTATATAGATAATATAGTGAACTTAAAAATCCTCTTGTGAAAAACCACTTGTCCAATTTCAACCAAACATGGCAGGATTGATCCTTGGGTGAAAAGCTTCCAGAGTTGTTCAAAGAATTTCATTCTATGTAGAAATCTGGTTGCCATGGCAACCAAAAGGAATTATAAGAATAAATTTAAAAAATCTTCTTGTAAAGACCCACAAGGTCTAGAGCATAAGGTAAACCTCTACCAAGATTGTTCAAATTATAGCCTGGTCAAAATTGGCCCTGCCCCAGGGGTCATTGATTTTTATGCCCCCACAATGTGGGAGCATATAGCGTTGCACTTGTCCGTCCGTTCGTCAATCCGTCAGTCCGTCCGTCCGTCCGTACGTCCCGAAATCTTGTGAACGCAACTCCTCTTAAACCGGATGGCAGATTTTGCTTAAACTTACAGGGATGAACAACCTTAATGTGTAGATGGTAGTAAAGGAAGGAATTTTCGCTGCGACCAAATTTAACAGAATTATGGCCCTAGTTGATTTTTATGCCCCCACAATGTGGGAGCATATAGCGTTGCACTTGTCCGTCCGTCCGTCAATCCGTCAGTCAGTCAGTCCGTCAGTCCGTCCGTCCGTACGTCCCGAAATCTTGTGAACGCAACTCCTCTTAAACCGGATGGCAGATTTTGCTTAAACTTACAGGGATGAACAACCTTAATGTGTAGATGGTAGTAAAGGAAGGAATTTTCGCTGCGACCAAATTTAACAGAATTATGGCCCTTTGTTGATTTTTTCACTAGATACTATGTAGAAATTTTGTGAACGCAACTCCTCTTAAACCGGATGGCAGATTTTGCTTAAACTTACAGGGATGAACAACCTTAATGTGTAGATGGTAGTAAAGGAAGGAATTTTAGCTGCGACCAAATTTAACAGAATTATGGCCCTTTGTTGATTTTTTTACTATATACTATGTGGAAATTTTGTGAACGCAATTCCTCTTAAACCGGATGGCAGATTTTGCTTAAACTTCCAGGGATGAACAATCTTAATGTGTAGATGGCAGTAAAGGAAGGAATTTTTGCTGCAACCAAATTTAACAGAATTATGGCCCTTTGTTGATTTTTTCATTATATACTATGTAGAAATTTTGTGAACGCAACTCCTCTTAAACCGGATGGCAGATTTTGTTTAAACTTCCAGGGATTAACAAACTTAATGTGTAGATGGTAGTAAAGGAAGGAATTTTTGCTGCAACCAAATTTAACAGAATTATGGCCCTTTGTTGATTTTTAGCTCGACTATTCGAAGAATATGAGAGCTATTGTAGTCGCCCCGGCGTCGGCGTCGGCGTCTGCGTTGGTTAAAGTTTTTTGTAAAGTCAAATATCTCAATTATTACTTGAGATATTCAATTGAAACTTACAATACTTATTTATAGTAACAAGGTACATCAGAATGACAAGTTGGATAACTCTGCCTACAATTTTGACAGAATTATGCCCCTTTTTAACTTAGAAATTTTGGTTAAAGTTTTTTGTAAAGTCAAATATCTCAATTATTGCTTGAGATATTCAATTGAAACTTACAATACTTATTTATAGTAACAAGGAACATCAGATTGACAAGTTGGATAACTCTGCCTACAATATTGACAGAATTATGCCCCTTTGGAACTTAGAAATTTTGGTTAAAGTTTTTTTGTAAAGTCAAATATCTCAATTATTGCTTGAGATATTCAATTGAAATTTAAAATCTTTTTTTATAGTAACAAGGTACATCAGATTGACAAGTTGGATAACTCTGCCTGCAATATTTGCAGAATTATTTGCCCCTTTGAAACTTAGAAATTTTGGTTACAGGTTAATGGTCTTCAAAGATATTAACTTGAAACTTTACACATGCTCTTAGGGTCATAATTAGAGGATCATCATTGTATGTCACTGACCAAGTTCCATAACTCTATCTTGCATTAAGGCTGATTCATGTATCCCCTTTTCTACTTAGTCTCTTTGTTAATGTTTACATGCAAGCTTTACATATCTCAATAACTATTAAAGATATTTATTTAAAACTTCACATATGCATTTAGGGTCATAATTGTAGGTCACTGACAAAGATCCATAATTCTATCTTGCATTTAGGCTGATTTTTCTCCCCTTTTTTCAACTTAGAAATTCATGATAAAGTTTTGCTTGTAAGCTGTTATCTCAATAACTACTGAAGGGTTTGTGCCTTTTTTGGGACAATTTTATGCATTCATAATAGTAAAGCAGTAATTTACTTGATAAAACATCTTAATAACAAGCCTTTGTACCTTTTCTGTCAAATTTATGTATTCATAGGTAATTGATATTATTATACTCAATAAAACAACCTTATGACATTACCTTCCGAATAGTCAAGCCAATACTGTATAATTAGACTCTCTCTAAGGCCTATAACATGAATTTATAAAAAAAAAATTAGCCCTTTTGTGAACTTAAAAAATTTAATATTATAAAGGCTCTTTTACTATCAAGCACTTAGAATAGTCGAGCGTGCTGTCCTTCCGACAGCTCTTGTTAGAATTCAACTTGTGGCACATGTAGTCCAAAAAATATTTGACCTAGAGTCTTAAGATTGACAGAACAGTGGTGTGTGGGGGCATCCGTGTCCTATGGACACATTTCTAGTTTCACTATGTACTATGTAGAAATTTTGTGAATGCAACTCTTCTTAAACCGGATGGCAGATTTTGCTTAAACTTCCAGGGATGAACAACCTTAATGTGTAGATGGCAGTAAAGGAAGGAATTTTTGTTGCAACCAAATTTAACAGAATTATGGCCCTTTGTTGATTTTTTCATTATATACTTTGTAGAAATTTTGTGAACGTAACTCCTCTTAAACCGCTGCGTACATACCGGAAGGTTCTGCAGTGTATACATTCAGATACATTGAGAAGATGTAAATTCAACTGACCTAGATTTTGACAAAGTGTCTCACTGTGTTGTCCTTTGATGTACAGTTATGGAATTTAGATCCCTACTCTGACCTTTTATTTAATAACAATAGATTTAACCACAAACATCAACATGTGCTCTTTTGTTAACAAATAGGTTGTGGTGAAATTGTTATTGTATCCACTAATCTGATAATAAGAATTAGGTAGGTCAGTGATCTATGCATTATGGCAATGTTCAATTGTATAGAAACAAAAAAAAACACACTACTATTTAGTGTTGTATTAATGCGGTGGCATAGCATTTTTCACAAATGCAATCTTGTTTGTTACTTAATTTGTGAATCCTCTCAAACAAGATTGTAAACTTTTGTATTTTGGTATTTGTGTCAAGAATATGACAAAGTTTAACAATGTAAAGGTTTTAAATGACTTTTGAAACATTGTCAAATATACCTCTAATATCTTAAATCTTCATGTTTGCACCAGATTTGTTACACATTGAATTATTTCTGCATTGAAGACAACATCTTATATAAAAGTTCTAGACAAATCATGGCCCTCTTGTCTAAATTTTGTGTTAGCTATTTAGTTGCAACAAACCTGCATTGCTAGATACATTAACAAGATGGCCCTTGCTTCTTCTTATGAGAGGAAGAAATTCTCTGCAAACATAAACTGGTCCCATGAAGTTGATAGCCATTATATTTTCTATGTCTTCTGAAGCCATGATCTCTACATTGCCAATGAAACAGATTCCAGCGTTGTTTATGACAGCCCATAACTCTGAAATAAATTATGAAAAATATTTTTTTCATCTCAGTTGAGCACAATGAGCTTTGAGATTAGCTTTTGTGATGGCATTGTGTCTGTTTTCTGTCCAAAATTTCTTTTAAAAGCATGTCCTAAACCACATGACCAATCTTTACAGGAATGATGCTTAGGTGCCTCTACAAAAGTTTACCAAAGTACTGAAGTATAGATATTCTGGCTATGTATTGTTCCCATATTTTGTAGTATGTCTTTTTAAAAAATAATGCTTTCTATCTGATTATTATTATTAATCCCTACGGGTAAAGGGGATTATAGGAATGGCCTCTGTCTGTCCATCGGTCCGTCTGTCCGGGGAAACATCCAATGGTCTATGAGCTTCATTCCATCCATAATTTTAGTTAAAAAAGGCGGAAGTCCCATAAACCCACTGGTTTATGTGGTAATTATACCCCCGCACAACAAAGTTGTAAGGGGGTATACTGGAATCAGCTTGTCCGTCCGGCCGTCCATCCGGCGTTTGTCGTTTTTTTCTTGTCCGCCCAATAACTTAAGATTCCTTTGACCCACAGCCTTCATATTTGGCATGGAGGTTAGTCATGACGAATAGATGACCCCTATTGATTTTGAGGTCGCCAGGTCAAAGGTCAAGGTCACAGGGGCCTTCACTTCAAAAAGCTTGTCCGCCAAATAACTTAAAGATTCCTTTGACCCACAGTCTTCATATTTGGCATGGAGGTTAGTCATGATTAGTAGATGACCCCTATTGATTTTAAGTTGACTGGGTCAAAGGTCAAGGTCACAGGGGCCTTGACTATAAAAAGCTTGTCTGCCCAATAACTTAAGACTCTTTTGACCCACAGTCTTCATATTTGGCATGGAGGTTAGTCATGATTAGTAGATGACCCCTTTTGATTTTGAGGTCACCAGGTCAAAGGTCAAGGTCACAGGGGCCTTGACTGCAAAAAGCTTGTCCACCCAATAACTTAAGATTCCTTTGACCCACAGTCTTCATATTTGGCATGGAGGTTAGTCATGACGAGTAGATGACCCCTATTGATTTTGAGGTCACCAGGTCAAAGGTCAAGGTCACAGGGGCCTTGACTTCAAAAAGCTTGTCCGCCCAATAACTTAAGATTCCTTTGACCCACAGTCTTCATATTTAGCATGGAGGTTTGTCTTGATTTGTAGATGACACCTATTCATTTTAAGGTCACTTGGTCAAAGGTCAAGGTCACAAGGGCCTTAACTAAAAAAGGCTTGTCCGCCCAATAAGTTAAAAATCCTTTGACCCACAGTTTGTATTTTTGGCATGGAGGTTAGTCATGACCATTAGATGACCCCTATTGATTTTGAGATCACTTGGTCAATGGACGAGGTCACAGGGCCTTGATTTCAAAAAGCTTGTCTGCCCAATAACTTAAGATTCCTTTGACCCACAGTCTTCATATTTGGCATGGAGGTTCATCATGACGAGTAGATGACCCCTATTGATTTTGAGGTCACCAGGTCAAAGGTCAAGGTCACAGGGGCCTTGACTTCAAAAAGCTTGTCCGCCCAATAACTTAAGATTCCTTTGACCCACAGTCTTCATATTTGGCATAGAGGTTAGTCATGACGAGTTGATGACCCCTATTAATTTTGAGGCCACCGGGTCAAAGGTCGACTAAAAAAAGCTTTTCCCCTCAATTGCTTAAGAATGCCTGTCCGCAGTTTATTGATTTTGACATTTTCACATTTGAAGCATGTAGAATACATAGCACTGGCTTAGTAACCTCAGATTTGGCAGGGACGTTGGCCTTGAGCTCTAAATGGCCACTGTTGATTCTGACAAAGTGGTATGCGGGGGTATTCACGCCATGACAGTGGCAGTTCTAGTTTTTACTGGTTTATGGGGAAAAGTGCCACATAAAGATCAAAGAAAGCACATAAACCCCAAATGTTGGCATGTCCATCCTTCTGTCTGTCCGTGCTATTTAAGAGAAGTAATGGGCCATCTAACTGTAAACAGAACAAAAGAGAACAATAGAGTTCATTCTGTAACAATAGAATAAGGGGCCATGGCCCTCAGTATTTAACAAAAGAAAATAACAAAAGAAATGGCCCCTTAACGTCAGTCAGTAACACTTTCGTGTCCTCTCCATAACTTTTAAACCGCTGAAAATTTTTTCAAATTACTTGGCACAAGTGATCACCATAATGAGACGATGTGCAGAGCGCAATAATTGGGTTGCTACCCCCAAGGTCAAGGTCACACTAAAAGGTCATGTGTTAAACATTTCGTGTCCGCACTATAACTTTAAACCACTGAAAATTTTTTGAAATAACTTGGCACAACTGATTACTATTATAAGACGATGTGCAGAGTGCATTAAGTAGGTTGCTACCCAAATGGTCAAGGTTGACCAAACTTGGCAGGATTGATCCTTTGGTGAAGGACTTCCAGAATTGTTCAAAGACTTTCATTCCATGCAGAAATCTGGTTGCCATGGCAAGCAAAAAGAATTATAAGAATAAATTTAAAAAATCTTCTTGTAATGACCCACAAGGCCTTGAGCATAGATATTTTGCATAAGGCATGGCCTGATAAACCTTTACCAAGATTGTTCAAATTATAGCCCTGGGGTCTAAATTGGCCCCGCCCCGGGGGTCATTGATTTTCACTATATGTACATATAGTAAAAACTTAAAATACCTTCTTGTAAAGACCCAAAAGGCCTAGAGCTTAGATATTTTGCATAAGGCATTGTCTGTTAGACCATTACCAAGATTGCTCAAATAATAGCCCTGGGGTCAAAATCGGCCCCGCCCCTGGGGTCATTGATTTTCACTATAGGTACATATTGTAGAAACTTAAAATACTTTCTTGTACAGACCCAAAAGGCCTAGAGCCTAGATATTTTGCATAAGGCATTGTCTGGTAGACCTCTACCCAGATTGTTCAAATTATAGCCCTGGGGTCAAAATCGGTCCCGCCCCGGGGGTCATTGGTTTTCCTTATATGTATATAGAAAAACTTATAGTAAAACCTTTAAAAAAAGTTCTTCTAGCAATTGACAAATGCTATAGATTAGATATTTTGCATGAAACATTTTGTAGTGAACTTTTGTGTCATTGATTTTCAATATATACATTTAGTAAAAAATCAAAAAATCTTATTGTCTGAAGGTAGAAGGCTTAGAGCTTTAATATTTGTTAAATGATATCATCTATAGGTTCTCTACCAAAGTTGTTCAAATTTTACCTCTAGTGTCAAAATTAGCCCCGTCCCAGGGGCCATAGCTTTTCCTTATATGTATATAGTATAAACTTAAAAAATCATCTTCTCTAAATTTAAAAAGGCTAGAGTTAAGATATTTTGCATGAAACATTGTGTAGTGAACCTCTAGCAAGATTGTACAAATTATAGCCCTTGGGTCAAAATTGGCCCCACCCCCAGGGGTCATTGATTTTCACTATGTACATATAGTAAAAAATTAAAAAATCTTCTTGTCTGAAGGTACAAGGCTTAGAGCTTTGATATCTGGTATATAATATCATTTATGGGTCCTCTACTAAAGTTGTTTTAATTATGCCCCTACTGTTAAAATTGCCCTGCCCCAAAGGCGATAGTTTTCCTTATATGTATAAAGTAAAAACTTGAAAAATCTTCTTCTCTGAATTGACAAAGGCTAGAGGTTAAATATATGGCATTAGACTTTGAGAAGTGAATCTCTACCAAGATTGTTCAAATTATAGCCCTGGGGTCAAAATTGGTTCAGCCCGGGGATCATTGATTTTCATTATGTACATATAGTAAAAAAATTAAAGAATATTTTTGTCTGAAGGTACAAGGCATAGAGATTTGATGTTTGCTATATAATATCATCTATAGGTCCTCTACCACAATTGTTCAAATTTTTCCCCTGGTGTCAAAATTGGCCCTGCCCAAGGCGATTGATTCTCATTATGTACACATAGTAAAAACAGAAAATAAAACACATGTTTTCTGAATGGGAGAAAACCACCGCTTAGATATTTGACTTGAAATGTTGTTCGGTGGATCTGTATCAAGATTGTTTTGAATTAAACCCTTGGGTCAAAATTTTGTCTTGCCCAAGGGGACTGTGACCTACTTTCTTGTCCTTTGATGTACAGCAATGAAATTTTGACCATGTGCACAGTTTAGTTGTAAAATTGATCTTTGATATTAGGTGACCTAGATTTTGATGATGTGACCTACTTTCTTGTCCTTTGATGTACAGCTATGAAATTTGAACCATGTGCACAGATTATGATGTAAAGTGAACTTTGATATCAGCTTACCTAGATTTTGAGTGTCTTACTGTGTTGTCCTTTGATGTAGTCATGAAATTTAGGTTGTGTGAAATACGACCTTTACCACCAAATTCACTAGACTCAAGTGCATCGATATGTTCCTACTCTGATCTTTTATTGGATTAACAATAGATTTAACCACTAATCTGATAATAATAGTTAGATAGGTCAGGGATCTATGCATTATGACAATCTTCAATTGTATAGAAACAAAAAAAATATGTTCCTACACTACTATTTAGTGTTGTATTAATGCGGTGGCATAGCATTTTTTCTCAAATGCAATCTTGTTAGTATTTTTAGTTATTGCCCTTGACTGAGTAAAATTTGTCAATTTTCAACTTGTGTCGCATGTAACTCAAAAAGGATTTGACTTAGAGTCATGAAACTTTACAGAAATGTTGATCAGCATGTGTTGTTGTGCACCTGGGTATTTTCGTGTGGATATTTTTAGTATTTTTAGAGTTATTGCCCTTGACTTAGTAAAATTTTGTAATTTTCAACTTGTGTCGCATGTAACTCAAAAAGTATTTGACCTAGAGTCATGAAACTTTACAGGAATGTTGATCAGCATATGTAGTTGTGCACCTTGATATTTTCGTCTGGATTTATTTAGTATTTTTAGAGTTATTGCCCTTGACTTTGTAAAATTTTGCAATTTTCAACTTCATGTCACATGTAACTCAAAAAGGATTTGA